AGCCTTCACAAATCCCAGAGACCGGGGGGAAATGCTGGAAGATGTACCCTTGGTGGAAGAGGATCAGGTCAGGGAATACTTAAGCAAACCAGACATATGTAGGTCCAGAGGCCCTGGTGGGATGCACCAACAAGTGCTGAGAGAGCTGGAAGATGCCATTGTAAGGCCACTCTCAACAATCTTCTGTCAATCATGGCAACTGGGAGAACTGCCCAAGGACTGGAGGAAAGCAAATGTCACTCCTATCTTCAAGAAGGGCAAGAAAGAGGACCTAGGGAACTACAGGTAAGTCAACCTTACCTTGATTCCTGGGAAGGTGATGGATCCACTAATCCTGGAAACCATTCTTCAGGTATATGAATGACAAGAAAATCAGCAGGAGTAGTCAAGTATGTCTTCATCAAGAGGAAGTCATGCTGGACCAACGTGATAAACTTCTACAATGAAATAACTGGCCTGGTAGGCGAGAAAAGAGCAGTGGATATTGTCTACCTGGACTTCAGTAAGGCCTTTGACACTGTATCCCACAAGGTCCTCATAGAGCAGCTGTTGATGTACAGGTGAGATGAGCAAACAGTGAAGTGGATTGAAAACTGGCTGAAAGGCCAAGATGAAAGAGTAGTGATCAGCAGCACAAAGTCTGGTTGGAGGCCAGCAACTAGTGGTACACCCCAGAGTTCAATATTGGGTCCAGTCCTGTTTAACATCTTCATTAATGATGTGGATGATGGGGCAGAGTGTACTCTCAACAAGTTTGTTGATAGAACAAAAACAGGGTAAGTCACTGATATGCCAGAGGGCTGTGGTGCCATCCAGAGGGACATCAACAGGCTGGAGAAATGGGCCAACAGGAATCTCGTGAAGTTCAACAAGGGGAAATGCAAAGTCTTATGCCTGGGGAAGAACAACCAGCTGGAAAGCAGCCTGGCAGAGGAGGACCTGGGAGTCCTGATGGACATCAGGTTGAGCACGAGCCAGCAATGTACCTTTGCCACAAAGAGAGCTAATGGCATCTGGGGGTGCATTAGGACGAACATTGCCAGCAACCTGAGGAAGGTATCCAGTTCTGGTTTCCTCATTACAAGAGAGACATAGATGTGCTGGAGAGAGGCCAACAAAGGACCACAAAAATTATGAAAGTACTGGAGAATCTCTCTTATGAGGAAAGGCTGTGGCACATGGGACTATTCAGCCTTAGAAAGTTCAGGGTGGATCTTATTAATGATGACCTCTATCTGGCTAAGTCCAGTAATGCTGAGTGACCTGCATATAGAAATTCTTGAAGCAATCTCTGTAGGCACATCCTTTAAAATAAAAGGGGGGAGTGTGCAACTGTCTGTGTGGTAGGGTTATATACCTGAAGGGAGGGTGCATGGAAGACAGAGCCAGGCTCTTTTCAGTGGTGCCTAGTAGCAGAACAAAGCAAAATGAGCGCAAACTGAAAGACCAGGAAACATTTTTACTTTGAAGGTGACTGAGCACTGGAACAAGTTTCTGCGAGAGGTTACTTGTAAGTTGGACCAGCCAACATCCAGTGGTCAGTTCCAACCTCAGCCATTCTCTGAATTCACCTCTTCCCTGGAAGCCAGATAGCCAAAACTGATATTCCACCACTCCCTTAATCATAATATTGTGGGGATCACACAATACCTACAATACTAGTATCCTGCAACTTTATGACTGCCAAACATATGAAAGTTTGGGTTATCTGCTGCCATCTTCAAAAATTCTTAAGGAAAAATAAGTACTATGTATTTTTTGTAATTTATCAGTGAGATGACAGCATGTTTTATAGTGTTAAGATCTTGAATCTAGGAAGTGTTCTGTGATCGTCTTAGAAGGACTAAGGAAGTCCCACAGACAACTGGCCAGCTTGGACTATAAAACTTCAACTAGAACTCACCCCTGCTCATGCTGCAAGGACAAGTACTATGAGAATTATGGCAGTATAGAATCACAAAAAACCCACTTGAAATACAATTTAAAACTCCAATCCCCTTCAGAAATAATCATACTTACCTTCATGACCTAGTTAATTTACAGGAAATGAGCGGTTTTTGTAGAAGTTCCTTTTATTTTGCAAAAAATTTATTATTCACTGTTGTACAAAATATACCTAAAACATGATGTTAAGATAATGTTGACGCAACTAGATAGTGTGCAAATTACCTAGTTGAACATTTTTTAAAGATGATTCAAGACAGTAATAAGTGAATTACATTTTTGACATATTTCATTTGTAAGCTTTATACAAATGTTATGTTACTTAATATTTGTAAATTTTAATGCTTTGTATAAAGTTTTTATTCACATGATTAGAAGATACAAAGAAAATGTTTTACAGTTCAATTTTTTTAAAGCATCTCAATTCCCTTTCTACTCTTGGTTTTACAGAAATAACCATTTTGGTTCAGAACATTAATTTTTTAGAAGAGACAAACAAGTAGAAGTGATTCCAAATTTCTGTTCAAAGCAAAAGACAGAAACATGCAAGTAACTAATTATCTATTTTTGTTGAAATGTAAAAGAAAAAAAAGAAAACATTAAGGAAAATTAGATAAGAAAAAATTATTTTGATTTCAATAAGTTATTGTTTTAATTCCAGAGTGAAAAGTTGGCAACCATCTACTTAAAATAGCCAATGCTAATTCAATTCAATCTCATACAAATTTGGTGTATTCGTTTAGACCAATACTACTATTATATTTCATGAGGAAAGATACCATATTTCCAGAGGTTTCTCTTCTCCACAGAAATCTTCCTGTAACCTTGGGAGTTCTCTACACCACTCAAGTAATTTTCAAAAGGGTGCATTCTATTATTTACCCTAGGTCCTTTTGAAGGATAGGATTTTTATATAATTAAAAAAAAAAAACCAACCACCCAAAACCAAAACAAACCCAAACAACCACAAACCAAAACACCAAACATTAAAAGAGGGGTGAAGACATTAACATTACATTAAAAAGTATATACCTAATAAAGGTGCAAGACACAAAGAAGAAAGGAAATCACTAGGGGATGGATCTTCACCTCGCATAAAGTCAGCATAGCTCCGCTGGCATCAGCAGACCTATCCTGAGTTACATCAGCCACAGATCTGGCTATACACAAAGAAAAACTCAAATATGTTAGTTATAAAAAGTAACAGTGTTCAGAAGAGTAACGTTAGCATGCATTTTTAAATTAAGTTAGTTCAGAACACCTTGGCTCTCATCTAGTATTTTGCTGCTGGTGACCACCACTCTTACCACTGGCAGTATATCTAGTTCATGATGAATTCATCACCACTTTCAAATGATAGATGTTTAACATTGATCCATGAAGATATTAACCACAGCTAGTTCTTATCAGAAATATTCTGAAGACCATTTACATGTGAAATCGAAAGTTTTAAAAATACTATTTTATATGGTAAGTTTTTATACTGTTACAAGTTTTCACTGACCATAATCTGTGTGGAATGAACTGCAACCACTGGAAGTCAACAGCAGTTGTGCACTGCAATTCAGAGCAGCATGACTCTTTGTTCTTACTAATGTAGATCATTAGCTATTGCAAGTTTAAAAAAAAAAAAAATCTCCCTAAAGCATATGTTTACACAGCAAAAACTAAAAGCAGAATCATAGCAACAGAAATAAGTAATTGCACAAGTTTCTCTTTCTCATAGGCGGGAAGACATTCTTTTAAGGCACAAAAGAATTACGAGTGTGCAGAGGACAGATTAGTTAACCAGGAGTGCAAATATTAAAAACACATAAAACTTCGGAATCTGAATTCCAGAAATAACATATGGCAGCATTCCAGTCTCACTACTGTCACCTGCCTAAGGTATTTCAGACATATATATATATATAGTCTATATGTATGCTTAATCTAATAAAATAACAAATGGGATTCTGATGATTTCTGCCAGAGATCTGTGTAAATGCTTACCTCTACAACAAGCACAATAATACACTCAAAACATACAGTTTATCCCAGTGTAATTTTGCATCTCAGATAAAGAGGTCTTTAAAACACATTATTAATGCAGTGTATGCTCACAGCATTTGAGCTGTATCTTCCGTCAAGTTCTCCTTACAGAAAGAAACAGTTTCATGAAATCTAAAACAAGTCAAAAAAAGGTAGTGGCAGCTACACTGGCCAAAACTCTTGGCAACGTTCGTCATTCCTGTAATGATACCATGTTCAAACTCACAAGATACTGAGGTACAAACTTATGTCAAGTAAACATGAGATTTGCCTTGCATTCCTCTGAAGTATGATAGTTACCCCTATTTCCTGATTTTTTTTCAAAATTTTTAATTTCCTTATAGAAATATATATACTCGCATACAATGCTGATACCCTATGTGGTGATACGATTAATCCCTTAGGATAGCAAGTTTGATGGGTGGTAACCCATTAGGAGAAAAATATTTTTTTAATATTATTTTACATATATACAATACATATATATTTAACTTTCAATCAAAATATAAAATTTTCTAATATATTTTTAATGTGAAAAATGGAAGTTTTGTATCTGGGTTCATATAAGTTAAAATTAATAAGGTATTTGATATCTACCAGTAGTGATTTTTGGTTTATTTCTACAGAATAAAAACAAAACAAAGAAACAGTGAGTTAAAAAGATTTCCTTCTCCAAAGCCAAATACAATAAAATTTTCAAGGTGAATAATTAATTAAAAGGACAACACTAAGTTTTGCATTTTAAGCAATGACAGAGAATAAGAAATGTAATCTAGGTAGAAACAAGCATTACTATATTAACATAGTCCAAAGAAAAAAATATCTTGAGTCCCTTATTTTTGATGGAATGTGTCTAGCAGAGATAAAAAGAAAGTTGTAAATGTAAAGTAAGAGTTAATTACACTCTCGCCAGTCTATATGAATTTTGACAAACCTCTCCCCGCCCCTCAGCTCCAAAATACCTAATAACACAAAAGCGTGACAGCCACTTATTTACAGATTTTTCAAGACAGTGAAAGGCACATTTATCTTTTTACACATGTTTCTGCTAATGTCCTAAACTTGGGTTCCAGCTGATCTAAGAAGTCAAGTGCCTCTTCTTCATGCTGATCACTGCAGCAGCCTACAGAGCCAGCCAAGGATCCTTTTCCTTCATAGTTATATGAAAGGAGATAATCTTCAGAATGTTTCTGTTCTTCATCCTGTCTGCATAGGTGCACCTTCTGCATAAGAAGAGAACGCACCTTATTATTTTCTTAAATTGTTATCCTAAACATATTGCATAAAAATAATTTCTTTTGATTTACCTTTCATTGATTAATTTTTAATCAGAGTGTGTCCTCTAATGGATTCCTACATATAAAAAATGCACATGATTGGTCTATATCATTAAGACTACAAAATATAAGTATTTAATAAAGAAATAATTTCTACTAATTATGTACGTAATAATAAAAAGAAGGAAGAACCTGTTTAAATAACCTGTTAAGCAACTAAAATCCACTCTAAATGAAAAGACTGATTTACACATAAGTAGTTAGGCAAGCAGTGAGAGTTTTTGATCTCTAAAACATGGAGCAGCAACATTTCTAATGCTGTAGGTTCATTCCTGCACCATTGTTAAGATAACTATCAGGTTTAAATTAGTACAAAGCAAGCAGTTAGAATAAAAGCAAACAGACATTATCAGAAAAACACAAAAGCTTGATTGAAACAATTATTCTAAATTAGTAAATATTCTAAATGAAAAAATAGCATATTGCACATAGTCATTTATATTTGTATCTAAAATCTGTAAAGGACGATTTTCTGAAAGGACAATATTCCAAAGGGGATGCAGGGGAGCAAAGGAGAGGAAAAACAAAACAAAACCAGTTTTCTAGCACAAAAACAGGTCTTCCTTGAAAAGTCTGTATATATTGACCATAGCCTACACTTGGGGGGGTGGGGGGAAAAAAACACCACCACCAAAACACCACTACCACCACACACACACCCCCAAAAAAAGAAAAAAATTAAACCATTTCAGAATACTTACTTCACCTAAACGAGGATGTGTGAAATTATGCCATTCTGAGTAAGAATATCTACATGTATCCATCATAGGCTGTCCTCCTCCTTCTTTAACCGATCCCAGAGTCTGATGTCCACCTCCCTTGACTGACTCCAAGGTATGCCCTCTTCCTTTTGCTATTTCAAATGTCTGTTGATCTCCTGTTTTTATTCCATATCCTCCTTGATCACTTGTATTTTGTAGAGGAATTATATTGTGATCCTAAGAAAAGATGCGGTAGTGGGGATATCTTTAGTTTTGGTGTTTTGGGGTTGGTTTTTTTTGGGTGTTTTTTTTTTTTTTGTGCATGGTTTTGGTTGGGTGTTTGTTTTGTTGTTGTTGTTGTTGGGTTTTTTTTGTTTGTTTGGTTTGGGTTTTTTTTTGGGGGGGGGAGGGGGATTGTTCCAAAATTCAAAAAATGAAACAGCAATCAGGAACTGTCAATACTGAAAACAGATGTCTCCGGCTTTGCACTGTATTTGAACAAAAAACTACCTTTTGTACTCTGTGTATAAAGATCAATGACTGGTCTTTGGAAAGGATATTATGACAATGAAATTCATGACTATGAAATTCAGTATTAAAATACGATAAAAGATCCAAAAACTGCATTATATATCCTAATGTAAGCTGTACTACAATCCGTATGCTAGCTTCTTAAATCATCATGTAAAAATAGTGTTTGATTTTCAAAGTCAACAACCTCTAACCCATTAAGGCAGATATGCAGCCATATGCGTAAATTTCAACAACATTAAGTCGGTATACTGCGTGAAATACGGAAAAACTGGTATGAGATCAAAAATTTAAAACTACATCAGTTTATAATGGCACTATGTTATGGTTTGTAGGCAACAAGAAAATTGACACTTGTCGCTATTAGGATTTCTTGGGCTTCAAGGTGAAGGAAACTCAATGGTTTTCAAACGAATCTCCTTTTCTTGGGGAGGGCAAAGTCAGGTGGTAAGGGACAGAGGAAAAGGGAAAGTCTGAAGTCTAAGTCCTTGTGGATGAATACAGCCCTGGGTTGGACTACGTTCCTGGTAGACAATCTTAAAATAGTTTGAACAGCCCATGCTCATGCTTTTGGCATCTAATTATTGAGCCACCTACTGGCTCAAAAACTGTATCTGGGATCATTCTTCAGGGGAAAAACAGAAATTGCACCTGTAGATTACAATGACTATCTCCTAAATTTAAAAATCCTTTTCCAAGGGAAAGCAAATATGTTTTGCCATAAACACACATTCAACATAGGCAAAACAGTAAATTTTTATTTAATCTCATTGTTGAAAATGACTGAAGTGATTAAAATGTTCACCTGAAAGTTCTAACCAAACAGTTAAAGTCTGGAAGAATCATAAGCAGCCAGACTAACAACTACAGGATATGTTTAAATATATATGGTACTATGAACTCTGCCTAAAGTAAGAATTTTCAAAATGTTGTTGAATAGAAAGCCCATATAATGATCTATGCATTTACTGCATATTTCCTTTACTAAATCACTTACTTGCAGGTGGTCTTGTTCTCACACCAAAATGTTATGGCTATCTTTCTTACACGTTTCTACATTGAAGTAAACAAGCAACTTACCATCACTTCTTCTCCTGGAGCTTCTGTATTTGAGATTATTAAATTATGATTGGCACAATCATCAGTCACATGCCTGTGCATTACTCCAGAGCCACAGCAGCCACAAATTGTGATCAAGATTACTATGAAAAAGAAATAAATGAGAAAGATACTATGAACTTTACCTCATAACGGTGTCTACCTCTGTTTGATAATGATATTTGTTGTATTAGCCTTTTTAAAATGCCTAAGCATCAGGTAAGGTTTAAAAAAATAAACATATTTCCAAAAATGCTCATACTCAAAACTGAACATATATACATTTTTTCAAACAGTATATGGAGTTTTAACTGCACTGTTGAACTATTTCATTCTTCTAAAAAGCATCTTGTTTTCCCAGCAAGAAATGCAAGCATCTTTTATAAAAACTCTGTGACTGCAAAATTTTACGGTAATAAAATATTTAGACCAAATCCAGGTGAAAAATCATGTCTTATGCCTACAAGAAGGTTGTACATCAGACCTTTTTCATGTATGAATACGCACATGTCAAATTATATCGTAAGGAAGTAATATGCAAGCTAAAGGTCCCAATACTGGAAACTTCTGCTTCAGAGAAAAGGTCAGAAGAACCCTGGATGGCATCAAGCATTATTACTTAATTCCTTGTACTCAGCTTATTCCTCCTATAATACTACTTGATGTTGTCATGGACAATCAGCTGGAAATTAATTTGTATAAAAGAATCATAAACACCTAATACCTCTCCTAAACAAAGGACTAAACATTTCATTCAGAGAACCACTCTTTTTCTTTTAACATTGATAGCTTAAAAATAAAGAAGTCCATGAGAAACAGAAAAGTTCTGTCTAAACTGCTCACTGAGCAGTCTGATCCCTGAACATATAAACCTCTGTGGAAATTTGTCAAGAGCCACTTTCAAGGTCATTTAGCTTCTACATCTATCAGGTGTCCACAAGACCTGCATCAATGGTTTCAGTGACCTGGCTCCTGCTGCTGACAGATGGGACGAAGAAATCCGTGACAGCACTGAGCAGAGGTAGATTTAAATTAGATATCAGGAAAAAATTCTTCACTGAGAGGGTGGTGAGGCACTGGAACAGGTTGCCCAGAGAAGCTGTGGATGCCCCATCCCTGGAAGTGTTCAAGGCCAGGCTGGATGAGGCTTTGAGCAACCTGGTCTAGTGGAAGGTGTCCCTGCCCATGGCAGGGGGGTTGGAACCAGATGGTCTTTAAGGTCCCTTCCAACCCAAGCCATTCTATGATGATTCTATGATACACAAGGTAAAATATAGCCACAATAAAAAAAAAGAGTCTATCTGTGAGGGATGCAGTCAAGGGGTAGTGACAAAAAGCTAGCTGTTGTTTCACACAGTCCCCTTACTGTGTGTCCCCACATCTCAGTTCCACCTTCAGGCTATATCAGGAATTTGGATACCTGAATTTTTTAGATAAAATATGGATCTATCTAACCTTCAAAACATGTGCAGGTCCCAGTGTTTTATCTACCTGAGTAAGAATAGCTAGCTGAGATTCCACAGGGGCAAGACAGAATGCTCACTACCACAAAAAACAACACAACACCAAAAAATATACACCAATTTTTAAAGATTATTTTTTAAATTTTTAAAAGTGATTTTAAAAGATGTTATTAGTCAGACTATATCTGATTCTGGTAAAAAGAATTACCTGCTTTTGCTATTACATATCATTATCAACACCTCACTGGTTAACAGTTACATTATCCTGCTAAGAATCTGTTAGTCTTTGGACAACTCCAGTAACACAACATCTATTCAATGGTTTGGTCTCTTGTGGAAGTATCCAACCCGTCCTTCAACACTATGCTGGCTCTTGTAAAATCCCTTATGAAATGTGGTCTCAGATACCACATTTTAATCTATGGCACAAGAAAGGTCACAAAAATCTCTTGGACACTGATTTCACCATTCATAAAAAAAGTAATATACATCCCAAAACCAGCACTAAACTCAAACTTTGCTATGGTTGCCTTTGGACAAAGATCTGATAAGCACCATAAACCCCATCCTTTTTTGGTTCAATTTCTGAACGCAGTTTTTTTGGCCTTGCTAACATGAACACACAGAACATATTATATAAAATGTACTTAAAAGAATAAACAATAATACACACACAGTGACTACATGGCAAGATGAGGTCAAGAATCCTGTGATATCGATACAAATAGAGCAGGTACTTAAATTAGTGATGAGAGTTATACAACTGCCTAAATAAGAAAATAAATGTTTGAATCACATTTTTACAGCTAATTAAGTGTTTTGCACTTTGTATTAAAAAAATCCAAGTGTACTTACACAGCAATAATAGCGATCCTAAGATCATTGCAAGGATGGCCCAAATGCCAAGAGTAACATTTCCATCAGAAAGTTCACGGGTCCTGCCATTGCATTCAGTTGGAGTAACACAATCACAGACGTTAATTGTTATGTACTGCTCTCCTACCTTTCCTCCATTATCAGTCACACTTATAGGAATACTGTATATTCCAAATGGAATCTCACCCTTTGGTGAAAGATACACAGAATTATCTATTAGGGGGAAAAAAAAAAAAAAAAAGACAAAACCAGATCTAGTGTTAACAGTATCTGAAACTCTGTTGCCACAAATATAAACCATAATCACAAAAAGGAAAACCTTATATAGCCTTCTGATAACACATGATTTGAAACTCTCAAGTTTATTCAGTTCATTACAGTAAATGACACTATTTAGGCTAAATAATGAACACCATCAACTGAACTAACAGTTTTTAAAAGGACTTCTGGTAATGTGATTGGAATAATTAATCATAAACATAATTTATACCTCTTCCACTCTTTAGCTCTATTGCTATATTCAGTGGGAATGGCCATATCCAGTCGGACATGAAACCCATTTAGTCTGCTGCCCTGCTTAGTGATGATGATTAGTGGCCACATGTTTTAAGGGTCAAAGGAAATCATTTGTAAAAAATATGTACAAGAAAAACACTGATGTACACAATGGTTGCTTTATGATGAGGTGTATGAAACTACATGTACCGTCCAAATTTTTTTTCCAAGTTTGCCTAATATAAACCTTGAAATTCTTCAATGTCTTTGCTCTCAGATTTTACTGTCTTTTTACTCTTTCATTAGTGAATGTTTGACAGAACACTTCAGAATCAGACCCTTTTCAGGATACTTCATGACACCATAGTAGCAAATGGATGTGCTGCTCTTGTTGCCATCTTCTGGCACCCACAAGGAAACCACCATCAGCTATAAGTTTTTATATCAACATATTTCAGGAAACAGTGATTCCTTTTGTAATATCTTCTTTATCTAATTCTAGCAAAATTATAAAAACGAATAGTCAGCCCCACTGACTACACCAATTCCAAACATACATTAATCCAATCTACTCTTACAGTCCAGCCAAGGGTGGGGTAGCAGACTCCTCTGGCCACCTACAGCTAAGCAAGGAGGAATAAGTCTTAACATACCATTGTGTCGAGTTATCTTCCATGAGGAATCCAGTTCACGATCAATTATGCGATATGCAAAGGGTGTGCTGTAAGGAGACTCATCACCATCCTGTGCAGTAAGGCAGATTGGTTTTCTGTCTCTGCACATTATATAGTCAGTTTTAGTAATTCGTGGGTAATTCCTGTTCCCAGGCTGGATGACAACCTGAATAGTTCCAGTGCCTGTTTTTCCATCTGTGAGATTAAAATAACTATTTTTAGCAATTACTTCTAACATTCACATATTTATTTCTGACTCAAACTTTCACCATGAAATATCATCTGTACTATCCAAGTTTAGAAGTAAAGTGGAAAGCAGCTGCTGATTTAGCCAAAGAGGGACTTCTCACAACTCTCTTGGCTGCTTCTCTTTGCTTGGCTGGTTGTAGAATAGATCAACGTCTTGTAAAGCTCCACATTCTGCATGCGCAGACAATGTATTCTGTTGAGTGTGTGTATCTGCGTGGGGACAGATAGTTCTAATAGGAGGATGAGAGGAGAAAAAGCCCATAAATCAGCAGTAAAGGATGTTATACCAAATAGAGTCAGAAGCAGAAAGTGAAGGTCTCTAACTTTTTTACTTCTGGAAGGAGAAAAATTACACTTTCCCTCACTTCCCCTGGGAACACAAACACTTTCACAAACAGTAGGCTTCATTCTGTCCTCTTCCCTCCAAGTCACCATGCAGTAGCAGGATTCAGCAGTGACACATAATATATCACCAAAGTCTACATCACATTTTTTCCAATACAGGAGTGGTCATTGTTTGTATATGCATTCCAGTGAAATTACATCAAATCTATTTTTTAAAACTTCCTCTAGAGAGATACCTGATTGTAGATCAGCAAATGGTCAGGGTTGGAAGGGACCTCTGCAGATCACCTAGTCCAACCCCGCTGCCAAGGCAGGTTCACCTAGAGCAGATTGCATGGGAACATGTCCAGGCAGGTTTTGAATATCTCCAGAGACGGAGACTCCACCACCTCTCTGGGCAGCCTGTTCCAGTACTCTGGCACCCTCACAGGGAAGAAGTGTTTCCCTCATCACAGGTGGAACTTGTACTCTAGTTTGTGCTCTTTGCCCCTTGTCCTGTCACTGGGCACCACTGAAGAAGAAAGTCAAATTAAATCCTGTAATTAAATTTATAAAAGACAGTCCATTTTTCCTTTTTAATGTAAGATAAGGTTTAATTTAAGTTTTAAGATAAATATTTTAGAATTAAAAGTGTGACCTATAAGGAAAGCTTTTTTTTTTTTTGATAATCCATTTCCAATGTTTAGCATTTGGGAAATGAAAGGTGTATTTAATCTTTTTGGCTACATGATGTTGAGACAAAACTATGTCTTTTCCTACAATAAATGAATATACCCAAACTAATCAGAAAGAACAGATGATCACTTACATTAAATCATAACCAAAACCTGGTTTAGAATGAGAATCTGAGTGTAGAACCTTCCCTTTACAATCAGAGTAATTTGCAAGAGCTTGTCACCTGAGCAACACAGTGTGAACACTGTTACAGAATCTAGATGACTGAGAATTAGAGTAAGAGCACAGTAATATACAGCAATAAATACACCTGTTCTTAAAGGTCCTTTGAAATTAAGGTTTTTTAAAACAAGACACCAAGAAGTCCAACAAAGGACAAAACAGTAAGAGTTGCAAGGTCAACAACTTTTTTCCTGAAAGTTGTCTCTGTCCTTTTTTCTTTTCTGCTTTCGTCAACCTCAGGGCTGCTGAGTGTTACCACTTAAAAAAATATGCAGGAAATAAACAGAATATAATACACAGTAAATCTCTCAATTTAAACTTAACAAAGGATTGTAAATGGCAGCACATAACTTTTGAAAACACCGAGAATTTTCTCCAATTTCTTAAATGCCTTCCCTGCTATACAATATTCCTTAATCATTTAATAGAGCTATCCCAAAGACAAAACAACGGACTAGAGGGTCCTCTGGTCTGAACCAGTATAGCTGTCCCCACATCAAGTTTACACATAAGCATCTGTTATAGACCACGAAGAATACTGACAGCATTTACTACTCACTTCTGTCTATTGCAAGGACTGTGATATTGCATTGACCTCGTCTCATTTCTCCTACATCTCGGTCCAAGACTTTAATGGTTCTGACTTCACCTGATTTTTCATCTATGCTGATCCATTTACACTGGCCAGGTGGTATCCGGTAGCTGTCAAGAATAATTTGTTTGTTTAGTTAAAGGTCTCAAATATACATGCATATGCACATACATACACACACAGATACACGTATTCATATACCCTCACAAGCATGCGTGTGCACCCATACACATATATATAGAATCATAGAAT